GCTGTTTGTGACGTTTTCATTTTCCATGATTAAAGTGGAATATTGTTTTGTAGTATGCATAACAAACTCAGATTATATTAGCTGACCATATAAATGAATTTACGTTGTTATTGTGTATATATCTTGTGAACAACATTATTTACAGAATCTGGACTAATTTCGTTTTCAAACTCAGATGGAAATACTAAAACGTTATTATTTTTGTTTTGGTTATATCTTCACGCAAAACAGTACATATTACACACATAAGAATGATTTCAAAACTCACCTATAGTCCCGTTTAGTTAAAATTGTTATTAGCATATTATATGGTTACTAGCTGTGCCTGAGACTTCGTTCGCATGTAATAGACGACGAAACATATTCAATACAAACTTTCATTCCCTATTTTATTATATCCCCTGAATGTCACAATTATTTATATTTAATCAAAAACTTAAAATATAAGTTTCAAGTTTCTAGCTTTAAAAATGATGATACTTCCATACAATCTTACATCTCCCCTTTCAAAACCTTAAACCCTTTTTTTCATTAAAAATGTCCCGGACAGACAGACTGAGTTACTTTCGCATATAGAATATTACTAAGGATTAGATACCTGTTAAGTACCTAACGTAATTAATTACAATTACCACATAATGTACATACTTATGCTACCAGGATAGGTACGTAATGTGCCACGTACTTTCACGCTGTAGTATACGTTCCTATGGGAAATTAAGAACGTGGCCGTCGTCGGCGTCGTAACACATTTTTCCCTCGCTTAATAGATTTATTCATGCCTCTAGTATATATGGCACCTCAATCTGATTCTAAATTCTAATAAAATCCTTCCGATCCCTTCAAGTTGCCGCAAGTTAATTTAAAGATTATGAAGGTCTATCTATGGACCCGCAATGTTTTAATGGAATCAGAGGCTACCAATAATGCTTTAATCCTCCCTAAATCATTTGTAACCGTCATTTTTGCGAACAATGGATTAGTGTTAATGTTAATAAATAACCTTCGTCGATAAATACTTTTATTTTACATAAATATGTCTAACATATTTTTACTTTAGTGTTACAAAATCTTATTTTAATACAATCATATTAACAAAAGTTTTGGTCATACTTTATGAGAAAATGATTTAGCCTTCTATAACCGCGGTGGCCAAGCGGTTTGACATAGTATTTTTTTTTATAAATATTCTATCTTTTGAAACATCAGTGTTAAAATCACCGTGTAGTGTGTACATGTGTAGCTACAAAGAAAATCTAAGATAATGAACCATTTCATACTTTGATCTAGAAAGTCACGTGTTAATTTTTATATATTTTATTTTTATAGATATCAAATATATATTAGATTTATTTATACGGGGTTTTTTAGATTCATGATATAATAGTGGTCCCGCCTGCGCTAATGGCGTAAGGTTAGCTAACAAAATTCAATCCAAGCGACTGACACAATTCAAGCTAAAATCTTTTGATACATTGACCTAGATAGGGGGTTACCTTGGCTTCTTTATTTCCTTTCGCTTTTTAGATGACTGCGCAAAAACAATTCCACAACGATTGTGTTAGCGTCAGATCAATTGGTTTTCCCAGACGATTTCTACAATACTTTTTTGACATACTCTACTGAGTAGACCAAAAAAGACTTGTAGAAATCGTATATATCGAACTTGTATTATTTCTATTGTACTCCTACAGGAGTATATTAGTAAAAATATGGTATTTGCGAAACAACAAAATAATTTAATTTAAAAACAGCAAAACAATTTAATAAAAACTTTTATATGTTAGCTAAAATATTGGTATTCTTTAAATATGGTATATATATAATGGTTTATGGTGTATATATAATTATATAATATGTTGTCAGATCCTTTAAATGTATTCCCAGTGTTTCAGCCAGGAAAAATAGTCTAAAAGAAAACACACAACTGAATTTTCTATTATATTTGTTTGTTGTAGAATATAAATAAACCCGAAATATTGATTTATTCTTTATTTCTTTACATATTATTTTTTGTTGAAAAATCTATGTAATGGTCACTAGATAAAACAAATTTTTACCTATTAACAATTAAAAGTATATTTCTGTTATAGAAATCAAATGTATCCAGTTACAGAGACCTTTCATGCTAATTAATTATTCATGTTTCTCAAGATAATTTTGGTACTCGCAGGAAATCAAGGATTCGCATAAGAAAGGGTCTTATCATGAGCATTATTTATAATTATATTTAAGTTGTACTCTTTGCAAAACATATATGAGTACCTTCATTTTAAATGTTTATTTCAATAGATATATTTAATCCGAATTTGTTTTTAATTTCGATCTCTATTCTTATAATAATTATAATTGATAAATTTCCGACTTGTATGGATTCCTTGAAAAAACTTTGACTTCGACCTAAAGCAATAAAAAAAGATATTACGCAAATACATATTGTATATTATGTATTAAAAAAAAACTGTATTTTAGTCTGTAGGTTTTATAGCAGTTTCAAGAAACTTGTCGTCAAAATCAAGAAAGTTGAAATAAGAAATAAATAGATTGTAACGTGGAAGATTTTAAATCTGTACTTCGTGCTCTTAGTTCGATTTTTCACTTTGCTGCTGTGTCGAGGGAACATTAATTCATTTGTTACTAAGATAACCCATCTTCCGTGCCAAAAATAAAGCCGTGCTTAAGCTGTTCGTCGTATACTTCAGATTATCTTTATTACCATTTATCTACTGTCTCGTAAGCGTAAAGGAATGTACGACACGGTATAATTGTATTTCATAGAAGTAAGCAATAATTTCAAGAACATTGAGAAAGTTGTAATGATATAATTTAAGATTTTCGTTTATTATTATTCGTCTATATTAATAGTTATCGTAATTATTATTACATAGTATAAAATAAAGTCGCTGTCGCTATCTGTCCGGTCCCTATATATGCTTAAATTTGTTATAAATTTTCATGCGATTGTTTTAATAGATAGAGTGAATTCAAGAGGAGGGTTTATATATATAATACATGTACTCCCTTGCGAAGCCGGGTCGAATAGCTAGTGTAATATAAACCAAGACTTTGTTCGAGCTGAAACTTATGTAGGATTAGCACGGGAAATAGCCTCCGTATTTGTTCGTATGGACGTCGAGATAAGATGTCTTTAACATATGTGATATATATGAACTAAAAAGTAAATGAAATACTAGTACAATCTGTGAATCTGAATAAGAATCAATACTTTCAAGGTATAGCTGCGGCCACATATTTCAACTATTCTAACGCTAACTACTTTCAGCCGCAAACCATGTTCACTAGTGGTGAATTCACAAGCATGTAATTCCCCGGAGAGCTGTCTTATAAATCTTACAAAGAATTTCTCGAAAATAAAAAAGGGAAGAGGTGGGGATAAATAATTAAATTACCTTTTCTGCGTAGAAATCGAAAAGACGGCCTTTAAGATTAGTTTCACAAGAAACCTACATCAAGTGTGATGAATTAGTGTAGAAGCAAAAATTGACTGAACACTCAGAAATTCAAAATTTACCTGTTAGAAACTTGCAATGTCCCAAAGATACACGTCGTAAGAACGACTTGATGGCCTCTCATGACTAGTGCAGCATGCTTTTGCCAGTCAGCAGAAATGTGTTCTTACATTCCTTAATTCATCGCGTAGTGCGATATATTCCCATGGTTACGCAACTAATTTATCTTATTCAATATGTTAAAAGGTAATGACAGAAGTAACACGCGAGCTGAATATTACATTATGTTATTCTATTAGGAGAATGCGTGGGTCGCGTCGTGGATTAAAATTAGCTTTACTAAGACTACCTAACACCCGAAGCGAGAATAACTAATACAATAAAATTTCTCTCCCAGTCTTACTTCAAATTTTCCAATATTTTTCCAATATCGCATATGGTTATCAGCTTCCCACTTCAATAAATTGGAACCCGTACTCGGAATGTTCCCCGTTTATTTCCACGAGTAATCAAGTTGTAATGAAATCGGCGTGTCGTTGTCAGTTTGTCTTAAACATCAGTATCGATTAATTCATGTGAACACTTCCCTTAAGGGTTTGTAGCATTTATGTTAATAAAGGGATTAGTTGCACAATTATAACTAACAGGGTTGTGTTCAGCGGGAACCCATTAACATCTCCGTGTTTCACGCTCACGCTACGTATTAATATGCAATACAATATGTCGAGTTAGGTTCTATACTTTTAATTAATTAGTAAGTACTTTGAATGATGTAGAAAACACACATTTTCGCATTTTAATTATTCAGTAATGTAATACAGAAAAACACAAGTAATGTAATAATGATATTTACACAACGTACATTTATACTAATTTATATTATTATAGTTATTAACAAACCACATACATACACACACACGCCTTCACACAAAAACTAAAGCATTGCCTATATACTATTATTATGAACCAGAATATTTTTAATATAATAAAACCTCGGTTTATGTACAATAGATACTTATTAAATGTATTAACTTATTTAAACTATGCGGAACCTTTTTGTTATTGTTAGTATGATAATGCAAAAGTAACTATAATTCTAGTAGGACAAAGTGTGATAAGCGTGATAATATGACTAAATTTATTCTTAAATATCTATGTTTAATGTTACTATAATATACACATAGGTACATTATAAAATTAACTCCCAACAGAAGTATTTTGGTGCTGATACAATATTGGAACCTTCTAGAAAAGAACATATTTTTTCCTAAAAGGTCGGGAACCAACACACCTATAATTCTTAAAGTGCTGCTTATCGGCGGTAATCACTTACCATCACTAAGTGTATGCGCTACAAAAGAAACAAAACTGGCTATTTTTCATGCAAGTTAAGGAATAATGCAGTAATCTTGGTGTTATCTAAAATTCATGGAGACGTGAGCAATAAAATCGTTATACCAATATTACTATTGATTGTTTCTGATTGCAGTTGCCTTTTGTTTATGAGATATTGAAGAATCTAATTCCACAATGAGCATATGTGTACAGATTTTATTATTTGTGTTCGTAATAACAAACGCAGTGTTCATACCATTCAGACAATTACATGATTATGCTAAAGATGGACGTATGTAAAATTATATCTACTTATATTTTATTGTAATATAATCATAGTACTATTCTTTTTCATATATTCATAGGATAAATGAATATATGGTATATATTCATTCATTTATTTATTTATTTAGCCATTTTAAAGTGGTTACATTTATATTATATAATTATAAACTAAATACCATTCACATTAACATTAACATTAAAAATTATTTTCAGTATGCTATGTACCAAATAAACAATTTTCTTTCTTTTCTTTTCTTTCATGTAATATTACATAGCAATAGTTAGCTATAGTGTTTATACTATACACATATCTATTACTGAAACATAGTCGTATCTATTTTGTAGGTAATGCAAGGAAATTGAGCTGATGAGATGAAACAATTTGGGCGTTTGTTATATATGTAGGTACATATATTACAATAACAGTATTGAAAATAGTGAATAACTTGGCACGTTTAGTTAATATTACACTTTATCTTAGTCGCATAAAATAGAAATTAGATCCTTTTAGAGCACATTTTGATCTCTCATAAAATGCGGTTACTTCAGGGCTTTAGTTGTCCATCAAAATTTTAAGTCTATTTGTATCCGTTTGACGTAAATAAGGAATATATAATTAGAATTAACTGTATTTATGAAACATTTCTTGTTTCTTCGTACTAATATAATTTATAGATACTGACTAAAATATCAAGTAGGCTGGAGCCAAAACCTTGCCAATTTTAATATAATTCATTGGTATGACGTAACAGGTTTGATATATGCAAAAAAGAACGGTATTTAACTAGATAGCTATGATAGTATGGCTATGCACTATACTACAATATAATGGTTATTTTATAAATTGCTTGAATAATATTTAAATTTCTTTGGAATTTTACTTTATCATCATCACTGCTGAACAAGGCGTACCACTGGGCATTATCAATAATGTTTATTTTAACTAAATAATTTAAAGTAAGAAATGACTAAAGTATCGTATTCGTCAATAAATTCCATTTAGTATATTGGTGCCTGTGTTTTTGTATTATCCATATTCGTATAAAAACGTAATTAATTTTTCTAATACCTATATTAATACAAGGAGATTTCATGAATTCCATTGCTTGTATGATAAACTGCTACACAAGCAAGACCATGAATTATACTTTATATTAAGTATTTTTGTGTATATAACCCTGGACAATACACACAGCGCCATCTAGTGCCTAGCTAAGCTAGAGCTTGTTATGCTTACTGGACACATACTAGATACTCATTTTTTGTAAATACATACATAATATAACACCCAGACCAATACAAACAATCATACTTATACTATGTATCCAAATATAAATATATACATATATAAATAAACATGTATACAAATGTTTGCACCGTGCAAGGAATCGAGCCCGCGACCATTGGAACTAAGACGGTGTGCAAAACCATTAGACCACTGAAACCACTAATATATATGTACATATTTCAAATACCTGTACTTTATTACTACACAGGACGTGAACCTCATACATCACACTACTAATTGAATTTCAGGTCCAGTGGACGGCCCTTTCCCCTCTAATTTAATGAACATACCGTACTACTGCTACCAGGCGCCTTCGAAGGGTCCTTGTGACCGAGTGTTCTTCGTTTGGTTCTACGATGTTGTTAGGAGAGAGTGTATGCCGATGTTCTATTCGGGTTGCGGCGGCAACGAAAACAGATTTACGACCAAAGCCGATTGTCAGAATCATTGTGATCGCAAACGTAGAATATAAATTCATTAAGTGTTTCAATTTGTTACGATTTTAATAGTTCTTTTTGTATAATACACATTAGTTATTTTGTTTTAGATTAAATACGTAATATTATTAATATTACGTATTTAATCTATACGTACCAATTGGCACCTAACTGACAAGTATACAAGATTGATCTCCTATCCAAAATTGATTACAATAGATATTACTTCTTAACCGTTCAATAAAGGAAGTAGGTTCTTAATTGGACAGTAGTTTTTATGTTACCACAGATTTTTTTTGTACTAAAACTATTTTGATTATTTTTTTTATTTGTAAGCTTGTGATTCTTATTCGGTCTCACGTAAATTTGATTAAAATTTGTCGAGAAATTTTTGAGTTAGGTATATTGAATTATGTTAATGTTTCATTACATAACATAAACAAAATAACAAAAAAAATCAATTGTTTCTTTCTCGCTGAATATTTACTAAGTGATAGAAGTGAAATACTGTTTATTTCTTTAAAAAGCAATTAGATTATAATAACATTGTTGGGATGACCTAATAAGCATGGCAATGCCTGTGACACTAAAGTAACTTTACAGTTTCTTTTGGTGCAGAAATTAACGAATACTACAGCAAAAAGATGGATAGAATATACTTTATTTGAAACATACAGCGATGAAAAGGCATAACAATATATTAAAGAACACATGTATAGTTACAATAAGACGGTTCTCTACAAAAGAGTTATTTTTTCTGATAATAAATAATAATGCTGATCTTTTTTTTGGAATGGCGTAAATTCAACAAGGCAAAGAACCTAGTGACGTATTATAAAATACGATCACGACTTATGGTTAGTATGAAGGGCTACGAGAACATATCATGTGTGTACCCAACCAGAACTTGGTAGTATCAAGAAATCACGACGATCTCGACGTGTTAGCGTACTGACCTGTTATTTGATTACTAGTTTTTACCCGCGATTTTGTCCGTAATGAAACATTTTTTTATAAATATAAACAAATATCTAAAAATAAGTATGTGGCATAAGTTAGTACTTATTACAGTAGCTATGTGGGAGTGAAAGTCCCATCACAATCGGTTCAATCGTTTCAGAGATTAGCAAGATCGAACAGACAGTCCAACAATTTTTTTTTAAATTCATAATTCGTTGTGTACTTACATCAATTATGAATTCTATAAAAAATATGAATTTTAAAAATGTTGTGTGTACTTTCATATGCATTTAGTGAAAAGCTGTTACATTAATTATATGTCAGATACATTAATTTTATAGAATTGTATCGACATATATTTTGTGTCTGTATATGCATTAGTGAGAAGACTTAAAGTAAGAAGTGTTTTACATTCTTCATGTAGTATATATAGGTAAAGGTGAATTTCAAATCCTATCAAATGTTAACCATCTAGACTTTTAATAAACAGATGATACTTTTTACTGGCGCTTGATCCTACGGCGCCGCTTTAGTGAAATATTAACTCATATTACGCGCTGTGATGTCGATGTAAGAGTTCTTAAAATTGGTGTAGATTTTAAGTTCATTAATTACAAACAAAAATTATAATATTTCTTATTTTTTTGCAATATTGACTTTCCATAAAGATTAAACGATGATGAAGTTAGATACAATAATCGTTAGAATTGTACCTAACTTGAATAGTATAATTAAGGTCTTACTCCATTTGTTATCAAAGTTATCGGTACATTTATTTACTATATATACTTACACAGACTTGTTCTGCAACGATTCCCTCTGTAAATTACTCCGTGATGCTGATTTCCCGAAGCGTGTTCAGTGAAGAAATTGGACACGCTTCAGTGAGTTTGATGTAGTGTACTCATTACCTATGTGCAGCCATTTTAAAAGATATTTTTACAGTATCAATAGGAGAAGTATATGTTATTTAATTTGAAAATGAAAATCTTGTAAACTAACGTTTTAAAGAAATTTCGTATTTTGTTGATGTTTGAATTATTTATAAAAAATACTATAGGACATAGTAATAAACTCATAATATATTAAAAACATTCAGTCCAGAAGTCGATCACTAGTGAATAAAGGCAGAAACTCTTATATATAGATATAGTAAAATATATGAAATAAAGTAAAAATTTACAGTGGGTATTTTCCATGTCTTAACTAATATTTACGTAAATGTCATTCGAATATTCGTTTTTCTCGTAGGTCTGTCTATCCCTCCGTCTTTCCGGTTCAGTTGTAATCCATTTTTCAAGCACTTGTAGGTATTCGACAGAGCTGAAATTTTGCAAAATCCGATGATAGTGCAATGTTATTATTACAATGAGTTACTCACAAAAAGGAGAGGAAGTAATAGGAACTCTATTAGAAACGGAATCGAATAAACTTGTAAGAAATTTGGAGACAAAGCAGTTTCATCTATTTGGGTCCCATTTGTTTAGATAATTGATTCGCTAGTTAATATCATTTATACAATTTTACGTAATACGTATCAAATATTGTTAATTAAAATAATTATTCTATTATAACATGTTAAAATGTATTTGTCCATTATTTGCAGTGTATAGTGTAGAAGTATCCTTACTTTTTATTCTGGTCAATCAATAAAGAATTTCGTGCTAAAAATATGATGTTAATTATTTGCGAGTTACTTATCCTACAGTTGAAGAAAAACTATATCATTGTTCTGAACTAGCGACAATTTATTTTTTGGGTTACTTTCGTTTTAAAGGTAAAGAAAAGATAAAGATATCAGTCTAATAATAATGTAGGTATACCGTTAGCGCCAGGTATGTAGTGGACAAAGAGATCAGAGTGCCGAAGGCTACTTAATATTTTCTCCCAAACTTTCTTAATCCACTTCCATAATTCGTGTCACGTCAGTTTCCGGATATAGTTCATCCTCCAGCTATACTCAATGTGAATAACTATCTGATCATGAAAGGCCACTTTAATTTTAGTTTATAAGATCCCTGCCAAATTTCATTTCCGTGCCAAAATCTTATCTCGTATATTTTATACATTAATGTACGAATTTACTGTTACTACGAACAAATGAAAACGGCTTTTGAAAATACGAAACTAGGACGTAAGGAATTGTACCATAAAAGGTTTATTTGGCTAGCTATGGTCTGTATTGTATATATCATTCTATTGAAAACCGTCGACACAGTCCCTATTTGTGTAGTGGTAACTGGAATATAAATAGAAACGAAAATACACCACTACATCCCACTCAGGATTATCCACAAATGTCTGCCGTATTTTATCCAGGTATTATACGCGTATCACAATTTCAAATCACCTCTTACACGACGCCATCTTGTCATATTTCGCGTTGTGATAGTGGTTTGTGTATCTAGTGTAAAAGAAAATTCATGCCCATTCTTGTATTTATCTAAACTTGTATGTTTCAGTAAGGGAATACCTTATAGATTGCAGTAAATAACATTTAAATAAATAATTGTTTTTCGCTAATACGCGAAGATATTTAGAATTCATTGGGTTTTTGAAGCGAACTAATCATAAAAGATAATATATTACATAAATAGGTTTCAAGGGTCAAACGAATTTACCCATTGTACTTGTCTTTAGTCTTCGAATATTGCAAGTAATAAAATAAAGTCTGTTTAAGCTAAAATAAATGTCTAAAATTTTATCCAATTTTTCTTTAGCAAGAAAGGCGTGGGAGAAAATTTTACATTAGAATTCCTTCGTTGTTTCTCACTATTGATTAGTATGGTTAAGGGTCGCACACATTTTTCTCAAGTCGTTGACGCTATGCTCGGCATTTAATATGATACTGATTATTAAAATCCTTCACGGAATATGTAGGGACGATCAAATCAAATCGGTTGTCTTCATGTTATTTATATTTTTATGATTTTCGAACTCAATAAAATATTTAGTTGTAAATTTATTGTACATAATTAAATTAATCTACCCTTCCCTTAACCAATACTTCTATCTCCCAGGTTATCTGTAAGAGATTACTTTGAGCGATAACGCCGCCTTCTGTTTGCATATTTTTATATTTTGTTCTTTTTTGTAATTATATGTTTATTTTTATCCACTATAAAGAGTTTTATTATTATTCTTATTATAAGTACTATATGAAAATGTTTCAATATGCAGTGGCATATTTATGCCACTGGAGGATCTCTCCCAGTCAATGTTTGATCTTGAGATAAAGACTAATAGACAAATTATGAATTACGCTTTTATTTGTATATATTTGTATAAATATAGGTGAAATGCAAGTCATTAAATAGTAGTCTCCCTTCTTTATCTTTAATACTACTTCATCCTACTACTACTTGTTACTGATTATTTAATATATTTTATTCCAATCGTGAAGCTCGCCAATAGTACTACTATCTTCTTTTGATTGTATCTACTTTTGTCTAAAATAAAGAATACAATAATATTGTACAGAGCTTGTTACTATTTAGATTACTTCCTGATTTGTCATTACGGTATTGTTTCGGAACTGAAATACAGTTTCAAAGCAAGCAAACTACTCGGTATTGTCAAATCAGGAAGTATAATTGAATTATAGGCATTCGGCACACAAGTTCATTCATTTGTATAGAATAGATACAGAATTTCTGTACCGAAACAATACAGTACGAACAAATTAGGAACTAACACAGAAAGGATTTATGTTTCTTCTCTGGATACACACAATACAACAAGAGAAACCCGACAAAATACACACAAAAAATACAGGCGAATTCGAGAATATGCTCCGTTTCGAACACAGTAGAAAAACATAATGCTAAAAATGAAATTTTGATAAAATGTCGCACGTACAATAAAAAAAAAACATTGTAAACGTTTTATTCACGAGTGTTACCGTGTCTGGATCTGGATTGTATCTGGATGTTTATATTGTATTTGGATATTCATGTCTTGTCTGGTGTAGTAACCAAATCTAACTTGCAATTATTTTTTTCTTTATTTAATTGGAATGACAATAGCTTACGGCGCACCCGATGGCATGTGGTAACCGTAGCCTATGTACCTATTT